ACACCTTGAATGTGCACTGAGGATCTATGTTGGAACTATTATCCTCCATAATATTGGGTAAATAAAGATACTGGAAACCAATTCCAACCTTGAAAGAGAGAAAAACCCCTCATCTGTGAATAATGTGCTGTACCTTCATTAAGGAAGTGTTTGAGGCAGATGGAGGGACTTGAATGCGAGGAATCCGGGGAACATTCCAAAGTTTTTGTTGTCTTTTCTGTTTTTCTCCCATTCTGTATCCTATGCAACCAAAGAACAACAAACATAAGATACAATTTCATTTTCTTCAATCAGTTGGAAGAACTTACTGTGCAGAAACGCTGTTGGCATTTGGTTTCTTTCCTTTTATCCCTACCCCCACCCTTGACATTATAATTGATTTTAGAAAAGGGCGATCATACTACTCTGTTGTGCACTTTCCCAAATTATTAAATATCTCTTGGAAAAAAACATTTTTGGTGGCAGTATAGGAGATTTTACACCATTCTCCACTTTTTACACATTTAAATTTGCAATTTTACAGCATTGTACTCTGCAAGATAGTGTTAACCCTATCCCCGTTTCTTACACTTGCTGGACAAGGATACAAAATGAAGGAGCTGTGAGCAAGTGTCGTCCATGTGATCCAGGGTTTAGAATCTGAAGTTCAAATCATAATAAAAAAGTGAACACTCAAAGGTGAAAGGCACCCTGGGAATAAACATGCCGGTGGTGAAGGCCAGCAGAACCTCCGCGCATTCCATCCTCTGCTCACACCTGCCTTTGTCAACATCGGTTATTTGATTAACTGGATCATGAACATAGGTTCTCACTTTATTCCGGTTCCTTCTCTCTGTCCCCTGTTGTATGCTTTTGCGCACATGCGCATGCGCGCACACACACACACACACACACACACACACACACAGTGCTTCAGAAGTACACTGACATGAGAAGACTCTCGTGCTGAGTTCACAGATACAAGACTGAGAACTTCCAAAGGAGAAATTTATTAGGAAAACATTCGTCAGTATTTCTGTGCCCTGTTTCTACTATATAAATGTACACATTAAACTATAAATATTTTATTTAATACTTTTTTGTTCAATGTGCACTCCAGAAACCATATACTTTTAATATTCTCTGTGACAGAAGCTACACTATACTGTACTCATATCAACCCAATACCCTTCCTCCCACTGTCTAGGTCTGTGGAGCAGAGCATAAATATTCTTCAAAACTGAAAAGATTTCTTCTCTCCTCAAACAGCATAAAGAAATGACTGATGATCTTTTTTTATAGCAAACATTCTTATATGTGCTTTTCTTGGGCTATTGCGGAAGAAATCCATCTTACCTATTGAAGTGGTCTTTCTTGATAAAGTTTGATTAAAATGCTTGGGGCATCCAGGGAGGAAAACAAATCTACAATGTAACTTGTATCTGCAACTAAAAGACAGATTTACTTAAAAGGAACTTACTCTTTATGGTAGTTTCCCCTTTGTGAAAAGCTGGTATTCACCTCCAGTGTAGTGTTCTTGCCAGTTTTCTTTCTTCAAGCAATGGTGGTGGTGGTGGAAATTCAGTCTGTTGATAAGTTGATATCCAAGCAACACCACATGATGAAACACAGAGCTTGGGGAAACTTGGCTGCATGCCCTCCCCTGCTTTAGGATAACATTCAACTGCACAATTTAATCTTTTTTTCTCCCAAATTTGCTTCTATGCTCCATGTCTGTAGTATATCTACATGATATGCAGGGGTGGGGGAGAAATGTGCATAGAGACTGAATATTAATGGTTAAGAAATCCACACTCTCCCATGTATATTTCCTGGATTTGGAGTCAGCAACCCCATTCTCATTTGCTCAGAATGACAAAGGAATTGTTCTTAATATACAGATATGGGCATGAATTTGGTTGTAGTCACTAATGGAATTGATCACAGGTCAATTTAATATTCCCTTTTTTAATTTTTTGAGGAGCAAGATATTCTCTAGTCTTGATTTTAGGTAGAGGTAACATATGATGGTAATGAGTCCATAATAACAAGACTCAGATCTCATCTGTATAAGCCTGACTACTGAACATATTCTTATCCTTTCCTCTGTGCTAGTTTATTACTACAGATTTTATTTTTTCTTGAGAATCCTCCTTCTGAATGGGAGCTTATCTGCAAAGATGAAGCATTTCTAGAGAAATGGAAGAAGAAGTAACAACAGAAAACCAAGATTCTTAGCAGACTCAGGAAGATAAAAACAGGGAGATAAGAATGATGAACTATGTTGCTTAAAGAAGAAAGAAAGTACAACTCAATAGATATAACATGTCTGTTTTATTCTCTAATTTAAATGCAGACTCTCTGGGGGAATAAATGTGGCACAAACAAGACTATATAATGCCAACGAATACCACGATACCTCACACTGGTTCTGAGAGCTTGGTGGTTCTCCATCAAGAGATAAAGGCCAGTTGTCCACAAAGTTGATGTTGTCAGTTGAATCTTCCTTGAATGTTTTCCAAGGATATAATAAAATGCCATCGGGGCATCTGCTGACTGTCATAGGCACAGTGGTCCATATACTTTCCTCCCACACATCTGCATTTAGCACAAATACAGTAGGCTTAGAAGTTGACACTTGACTAGATACAAAATATTGAAGAAAAAAGATTAATCCATACAGGTGTAAGTTGTCCAGGTGCGGAGAAAGGAATGCAAGGAAATTTACCCAGCTGTGTTTCATGAACATGGTGTTGTCTGGATACCCGCTTATCGGCAGATGGAATTTCCACCACCACTTCAATATGAAGAGAAAGACCCTGCAAGAAAACTTGCAGAAACCTGGGAAAACTCTGATATATAACATTTCCTTCCCAGTCAGGAAAATAGAACTAGATCTAGGTGTGTGACAAAGAGGAAATATAATGTATGGGATCGATTACAAAAGTATTGGAATGAGTTAGAGGAACAAAACAAGAAAGACCAGTTTATCTAAAGACTGGCAGTCACACTAAACTATTGCTGGAGACAGAAGGCAATAAACCAGAGCTGGGCAGAAGGGAAAATGTTAGTGGTGTAAAAGTGTAACCAACTCACTTGCCAAACAAACTGGTCACAGATCTCATTGTGTACTTATACACCACGTTTTTTTTGTTTTTTTTTTTTTAGTTAACAATAGTTTACAATACTGTACCTGCTTCACAGATATGTGTTTATACTTCTTCAGCTATATGTCACCATACCACACCTACCACCACAGATTTAGTCCCCCACACCCTCTCCCAAAAAAACTCCTCCATAGAAGAAAGCAGTAATATTGTGAAAGAAAACTAGTGAACATGCACTGGGAACCTGCACATAATCCTAGGGACTAGTGATGGCTCTCTTCAGACAGATCCTTTGGCAGAGATTTTTAGAGAGCCAGGACTCAACCCCATGGTGACCTAGGCTATGATGTTTCCCCTTGGAAGCGACAACTTAATGGGAATCCAAGCAACACATGTTGCTGTAACATAAAATCACCCCTCCTACACAACCATTATGCACAGACAAAACTTGTGCATTTTATTCTTTCTGTCCTTGGTGTATGTTCCATTCCCTTCTGGAAGGTTGCTTGGTTGAAGAAGGGGAAGCTTCAGTTTCAACTAAGACTGACAGTAATAATTATGCAATATGTTATTAGTCTTATAACAAGTCATATGCCTTCTAATAAGAGTCCTAGGAAGGACTACAGTAGACCAGTCTCATCAATCCTAAAACCTACCCAGGTAATTCTGAACTCACTATGGATAAGGGTGGGGGCTTAGGTCACTGCACACAACTTTATTCTCCAACTTTATTCTTTTTTAGAAAGTGAAATAAATAAAAATATCATCTAGCACTTGCAATAGATTAGCAAAGAGACATTATAAGCATTTAAAAGATCAATACTGAGTAAGCTATTTTCAGACAATGTCACGTCCTTTCATTGTTGTTAATGGAATTGGGGCTTTTAGGTGTTGTAGACACGGTGTTTCTCTACTTGACTTGGTGCTTTGTGAAGTCCTAGTAGATGAGTACAATTTGAAAATTTTTAACAATTTATAACAACGGATGCTGACGATGGGATCAGTGACAACCTGTGACAGACTGTTGGTGGCATTCCTGATTTATTTCCCACTTAGACCAAGAACTTGAGTGAAAGCATGGTAGGTGAGTTTATTAAGTTTTCAGATGACCATGATCTACCCGAATGGGATGGAAAACATGGTAGGTAGCAGAATCAGGATACAAAAAGAACTTGAGAAGTTAAAGTGGTGGACAGCATCTACTAGGATGAAATCTATAACAATACAAGTAATATTCTGCATTAGAGCTTTAATTCTAGCAAGACAAATATAGAAAGGGAATTTGGGGTTAAAGACAGTTCAGACACAGGGAAGTAAGTGCAGAACAAGTCAATGAGGCAGCCAATGGGATTCAGGAGCATGAAGGCTGGGCTCCAGAAGAAGAATTTCTAAAACAAGAGAACAGCCAGGACAGCCCCGTGTGCTTTGTGCTACAGAGTTATGTCCACACAGGGACAGAGGCAAGCCAGGGGTGTAACTAAAATAGAGGCGCTGTGTTGTAGGATAATCATAAGTCTTAATAATTCTGGAAAAGCTGTATGGCAGAAGATGGGCCAGAAAGCCTCACAAGATAGCTGAGTGGCTTACACATGTAAGAGAATTAGAATGAAGCTGTGTATCCCTTAAGAGTAAAAGGGTCAAAAAGTAGGAGCTACTGGAAAAAAATGAATTTCAGATATCTTTAGGGAAAACTCTTGATGAGAATATTGTGCAGAGTATTTAAGTGTGACTGGGGTCATTGGGGTCACTGACCCTGTGATTGTATTATGTCAAATGCCATAGGCTAGTCAAACATATCATACCTCACCAGTACCCCATTATAGCATCCTGCCCTTTCCTGACACGGACCGCCCTTCTCTGGAATTTCATATTTGTGCACTTGGAGAGAAAAAATGACCAATTCTTTCATCACTGATGATACTCTGCACTATTCTAGCACTTTATATGGATGATTTCCTATAAACTTGTAATGTAGTATGTTCTGTGTGTGCTGTGTACATGCTAAACATGTACTGTATATGTAGTACACCCTCCATTCTCCCCACAAGGATTAAATAACCTTCCCATATTTCTACAGCTGGCGAGTACAGAATGGAACTGGACTCCTCATTTTCCCACCAGCATCTGTGCTTTTGGTGGCATCAGT